AGTAATTATTAATGAATTCATTAATTCTTATAGTAAAAATGAAAATTAATGAATACCAATATAATATTATACACGAAACACTTGAACTTTGTACACTGGCTGCTTCTATATTCAAGGGATTCTTGGTATAATTATCATGATCAGCTATTCTTAGTTGTAATAGCACCATGAAATGGGTTTTTTTTTTGTTGTCGTTCAAAGTTATTGATATGTTGCATATTATTATATACTTAACTGTGTAGTATCGAGTCAAGGGTTACACTGCGTAGGTATATTATATCAAGGATGTAGCCGTCGTATGTTCTGCGAACAATTATTAATATAAGTAGTAGGTACCTACTTTGTACCTACATGGCTCATATTGTATACATCATTATATTTGTATTAAGTACTCATATTTTGAGTGATCATTATATCGATGACGTATTTTATTTAATTTTTAACTATTAACTCTGTAAAAAGTATCCTACCAAAATAAATCATGACATGTTCAACGCATATTATACTCTAAAAGCTCGGTTAAAACATTCAGAGTCACACCTTGGAAAACTTAAGTTTTGCCACCCTAAACGTGTTAAAACTAACAATATTATCTGAATACAATATTTTTATAAAAACTAAATTTCAAATTCTGTGTAGGTACATCATAATATGTAATTATATGCAATAGATTACATTGATCAGATCCAGTGGCGTACCGACGGGGGGGGGGGTTAACCCCCCCCCCCCCAAGTAAAATACGAATAATGATTTTTTTTATGGAATATTATATTTAGACTAGGATCATTGTATATAAAATATGGTAACCCCCCCCCCCCCATTAACGAATTCTGCGTACGCCACTGATCAGATCTATACATTTATTGACGTCTTATATTGGCTTTACAATCTACCTAAATCAATCTAATACGTACAGTAAGTAAAATGTAAAACATTAATAAACATGAGCCAAAAGTAATATGATAAGTGATAACAAAGGAGTCCACAGCAGGGATACCAAAACGTGAGCTATTGTGAATTATATTTATACAGATTGAAATAGTTTGTTAATCATCGAGTAGATTTAGAGCTGTACCTGGTTTTAGGCACTGAGTTGAATTGCTCGGGTTTGTTTTGGTATGAAGTTGGGCGATAAGACTGTTGGGATGGATTTGCATTTTAGAATATATTCTAGAGTAAAATAAATAGAACTTAGGAGTGGTATTATTTATGGTTTTAATTTTGAGTAATACGTGTAATAAGTTGTTAGTGATCAACCAAATTGGTTTGACAATCATACAAAGACAATATATTATATGGCTTAAAATGCTTGGATGGTTTTGTATTTGAGGGTTAGCAGGAACGTCAAAGGGAATTGCTATAAAATCACATTTTTTTGAAAATCCTTTTATATAGAAGTATATCTAGTATCTAGTGTATATCTATTAAAAACTAATAGTGAAAAATAAAATGTTATTACAGCTATAATAAAAAACGATTTTAATATAGAATATTATTAAAAATAATAATAATAATAATAATAGTTTGTATAAGTATATGGATAGTTCCAATGATTTTAGAAATTAAATTTTCATGTTTTCGAGGATCCAAAATTAAATTATTTAAATTCATCCGTTTCCAATTCAAGAGAAAAATCACAATCCTTTGTCGATTGAAATCATTGAATACCTACTAGGACCTGTGAAAATTATATTACTAGGTACACTTATTTCTGCTATACTGCCATAATAATAGTCTGTACTACTATGTATGTAGCCTGAATGCATAATATATTTATTTTACATAGTGCTATGGTCAAGTTTAATAATTTAAAATAGAACTTATCATAATTATGGAAATGTATGAAACTTGTATATCATTATTAAAATTATATAAATCTACACCTAAAACTTAATATTATGTTTAAATCAAAAGTAAAATATGTTTGTAACTCATATAAGAATGATTACATTTTCTAATTTACATTTGCCCCATAAAATATGTACAGTATTACTTCATAGCATATTGGGCTAATTTAAATACGTATAATATATTTTAAATTAAAATACATTTACTGCGTTAAATAGGATTAGATTCGTGTGGCAAATTAAAACGGTAGGTTTAAGTTGTGCACCCCTAATATAATATTATTCTCAATACATTAACCTGTCTAGTTTGCATTTACCACGAAAACGGAGGTAATAATTTTCATATACAATGACCGGGGTGAATGTATATTTCGCCAACGGATTATGTTTAAAAAATATACACCTTACTATTATTAACAAAATGTAAAATCTCTTTTTTTATTTTGACACAATAAGCTATTATAAACTACGCTTTTTTTTATAGCAATAGTTTACATCAAATAAATAACAAAAATATTACACACGGCATATCGTTTAAGCGAACGTCTAACAGTTTTTCATTTTGCCTAACTATATAGCTAGCATATTCGAAATAATATTTATATCTTGGCATAATATTGCGTGTAAATACTATTAGTGGTATTTTTTCGTTATTTAACCACGAATTGAAATGTGAGTCTAACCAGGCGGTGAAATCTAACCTATATAACCACGGCGGACAGTGGTGTAAACTACCTAGTCAACAAACAATTTTCCATTCACTGCTGTGACATAACTATCTAGATTACGCGTGTCCATCTGCCGTTAACATGATTGTGGAAGGTTCAGTCGGTAATATTACATAACGAACGATTTTTAACGATATAAAATTCGGTTCCAATTTCAATTTCTTATTTTGAATCCCTAAAGACTATAGGCTATAATTTTCCGCCGTTCGACTCATCCAAGTTCGAAGTGTTGTTTCACATGAGTGTGACCTCGGATGAAACCTATACACACAACAGGGATACTCCAAATTGTTGATATTTAGTAAATTTATTGAATAAAATCTCTTATGCCAAATCTTATGCATTTTCGATAAACGTTTTCTGTGGCGTCTAACGTTCTTGTGCTTCGTAAGTTGTCTTCATAAAAATATATTATACGCATCGAAATTATGAATTATATGGCAACTAAAATATAGCATGCATCCAATATAATTAAATGAATGAAGCATTTGTGTTTTAACTTTTATTTGCATTCATTGTTTCATTCCATGTTGATTATTTTTGCTCCCAAAAATTATTCAACCGACTCGACTCTTTAACACGAAAACTATTTTTCTTTAACAAAGTTGATTTATAAAAATTATAAGATTTCCATTTCAATAGTTTTAAGTATTATATGTTATATAAATTTAAAATTCGTTTATGGAACATTATTTGTCGGTATACATTCAAAGTATGAAAAGTTTGCAAAATTTGGCAAACTGAATTTGTAAATACGAAAACTCCTTTATTTCGCCCCGAGAGCCAATTGAAGTTCTATGACGTCATTCAGTCTCGAGTTCAAAATAACTTTCCCGTTAAGAATAATTATAACATTATATTATCCGTGTAATGGACTTCCAACGTTTCACAGTTAATAACACTGTATTTTATAATTACCATTACTGCAGGACATTGTCTCGCTTATACAATAAGACCTAAACAAGTTGCTAATAATCCAAATGTTTTCAATTCCATTTTTGTCGAGTTTAATTACTGCGACACCATGACTATTTATAAAACACGAATTGTTCTATACGTTTTAAAATTATTTTAATATAACAAAATAATTAATAAAATATATATAATATATATATACTTATATACACACAACTTTTGCATAACAATACGGTAAAAAGACCCTCTGATTATAATATTTATAACATGGATAAATTGCATTCATCCCCTTTGACAGAAGAAATAGCTTGTTCCATGGCCAACATTTAGATAATAAGTTATACTTGCATACCCAATGCACCTACATACAATGCTGTGTCCACATTCTACTACCAACGAATAGCTCAGTTATATTATATTATTATTATAACGTGCGTTTTAACGAAAAATGTGGTGGAATACAACTGCGAATTTCTCCATTCGTAAAACGTGTCTAATTAATATCATGACCATTGTGTGTACCTACATACAAGTACAATACCACAGCACACGAGGAGTGTCGGTGACGTTATAACAGAACATTGTCCCCGCGGGAGTATGCAATTATTTAGAGGAGCGACAAAGCTTTAACAAATTATGCACACATTAAAATATTACAATTTTAGTAGAGATGGAATCGGTTGCTCAGGGAGTGGGTAGATAAAATAAAACCTCTGTATGACGAAATAAAAAAGTATTAATTCTTCACCTATGTCTAAACACGCTATCACAATGAATCTAGCACTAGATATAATCCTCACACTCAGCTATGCCGATTTATCTACCGTTGAAACATTTTAAACACTTGTGGAGTAATTAATATATTTTATATCAATAAATAATAATTAATATCATAAGTATTTAAATAATACAATTTTGAAGTAATTGTGTAATATTGTATTATTGTGTACACGATTAGGTATAAATGTATAATGTATACGTCATGATTATAGCCATAAGGTTTATTTAGCATTGAATACATAAGTCAAATGTAAATGTATTTATCAATTAATTTATAAATTTAAAGTGTAATCGCGGGATGACCACAAGACGTAAACATTGGTAACTGGAGAAATCGATAGGTTGTTTGAAAACTACCTGTACCTATACCGGCGGAAGTGATGCTACATAAATTGCAGAATCAATGGCTCTCAGCAGCCATTACACCGAGATCCATTAATTAAGAGCCCGTTCATAGGTAGATGCAATTATTTTAATGTGCTATCTACATCGTTTAGAAAAGAAAATGGAAATATTTGTGGCCCACCCCGCAATTAAATCATTATAATTGTCTGGTATTTGTAAAAATAATACTTATCTTGCTGTCTTCACTAACCTGTCAAATAAAACGAGTCACGTGTCAAAACAGTGTGTCTCCGTGAAATTGTCTGTGTATGACATTATAATAATATTACTAGGTATACGGTCTAGTGAACCGAATTTGATCGTCGACTATTTTGCAATGTTACAGAGCCACCGGAACCGATGGAAACGATAAACTCTTAAAGATTGTGCCCGATTGGACGGAGGAAGCCGCCAACGACGATCACCTGTGGTCCGTGACGTCCCACAACGTAGACTTCTGCTATATCGGCGAATCTGAGTGCTCGGTGAGTTAAAATACGTTGATATAATATTATTATATTAAATGTGGTCTTAGATGTTTCGCGTGGACGAATAGTATCTTTTGTACAAGTCAATATTTGTGCTCGACGAAAATCTACCAACTATACCCAATATTATAATACATCCATCGTAAACGCTTTCGTTATTATTCCGATCAGGGCCGTTTTAAAACCGTTTTTATGTCTATTATACAATATTATTATGCTGTCCCTTAAAAGTTTTATCACAACGCGTCACACATGGTTGCCTTTGTTTTATGATTTTGTGTGTTATTAAACTACATAACGGATAAACAAAACCCGTAAATAAAAATTATAATTTCCGGTCAACCGAATAGGTAGGTATCCAAAACGAATAACTACGCCTACGCGTATAAATGTATAATGTATAATAATAATAATGTGTGGTTAGTGGTTACCTATATAGATCAAATTAATTTAGTTTTTTATTTTTTATTTTCTAATTGATTTTTATGGCTTCGGCGACAGAGGCCATTAGCTTTATTCGTTATATTTTACTAATTTGTTTTAATAATTTGATTACAATAATATGAGGAGGAATTTATGACTGAAATAGTTATACTATTTTGTTTGTGTACCTCTAAAATGTATTTCTCCATGTTGATGCTCCTAAGGAATGACATGACGTTTTCTGGCTGACAGTAGAGACGTAGAGTCCGATTATTTCATTTAGTTAATGATATCAGTATACATAATACTATTGCCTACATTATTGTCATCGAAAACTGAATAGTTTTGAATAAATAATAAAGTTGATTATTAGATCTAAACCAATGCGGTGTTATACACACGTGTATTTGAATGAAAAACAAAATGTTTATAAATATGTGCATACTCGAACACAGTAAAAGGTCTAAAATATGAGCTTCAATAAATTATCATACTAATGAATATGCAACTGGAATTTTATTTGTTTATAAATATGACTTATTATTAATTTTATAACATATATATATATTCAAAATAAACTAAAATTGATTGATCGAATACTAAAAACCATATTTAAATAATCTCACTCTACTTTTTGAAATCAAATGCACTCTTAACTAAATGTTAAAACATTTTCAGATTGACATAACCCTTTTAGAAGGAAAAATTGTAATATGATAAAATATCTATCATAAATTCTACTATAATGGTCCTTACTGCACAGGTTGTTCCTCAAATACACTTGACATTTTAAAAAGTCATCAAATATGAGTACAACTACCAACTATATTAAATTATAATTACATACGAAATTAATATAATTAATTGTATAATGGGTTCAAACTCAAGTGGTCATACAATTAGCTAAGAAAATGTACAAAATTAAGTACCTATAACATAATAAGGACCTAAATACCTAATACAATATTATATAATATAAAGATTTATCGTCAGGGACGAAAAACAATGGAGTTGCATTCGAATTCCTGACATAATTATATTATAATTTTGTATAAGTACTAGTAAACAGTATCTAATAGAAGTTTTAGTTAAAATTCATTATAAGTCAATATCATATATTATACTTTAATGGACCGTGGTATATTATAACATCGTGCTTTTAATTAACACATGTAATAACGTAATTTAATGATATATAAAAACAATAACTTACAATTATTATTATTATAATTTGTAATGTGTCATAAGTCATAGCAATAAATGACTGTACAATTTAATTTATATTTGTATACAATAATTATGAAGAATTTTCGTTCAACAAAAGTTCATATATTATGTTCATTACCTAGTAAACAACTTGATCAATATTTTTTAATTTACTGTCGGAAAGCGTGCACTCAAGTTGTACATTTTGTGTTATTTATTGTGAAAATAGAAATAATTTTTCACGCATATACTTGGTCTTTGTAAAAAAAAAATTATATAGGTAGGTAGGTACGTAATATTTTATGAGTAAGAATTTAATCACAAACCATTTATTTAACAAAAAATCACACACGCGACCTTCTTTTACTCCGTTGTGCTTTTGTTTTTTTTATGTTTTTCGGTCAATAACGTATGCGAAGTACTAAAAAAAAAAAAATATATATTGCTTATGTACCTTTCTTCATTTGTACAATTTTATAAAATGTGAAAATCATTATTTCTCATACTTTCATCTTGCCTTTTTTCACATACTTTTTATTTTTTTATTTTAAAGTTCATTACCAACCCTGGAAAATGTACCAAAGAAGAAAATTTACCCAGCTATTAAAGAAAGGAAAATTAATACCAAGAATCAATTTATATTCCATTAAAATTGTCTGACAGTTCACCAAATACATATAGAATTTCCGACCAAACAGATAGTCATAACTTACTATCCTGCAGCATGAGAGAATATTGCCCCGATTGCTGTGTACATCTATAGATACTGCACAAACTATATCAGCCATTTTTGGCATAGTCAATCGTGTGACCCGGTCTAGATATATTGTTTCAAGCCTTTTCTTGAAGACCGATTTTAGACTATGAAATACTTTCATCTCACTAGGCATAAAATCAATGCAAAATTACCTCAAGGGAGTGACATTTACTATGTTACTCATACCTCTGACTTTCCTAAAGTAATCACACAACTCGTACAACTTAAAACCTCTATAACATAATCTGATAATAATAGGTACTAATATAATATTATTATTAACACGTCACGATAACACGTAAAATAAATGTCTAGGGAAACTAATATAAATGGAAAATCACGATAAACTTTTATTTCAGTTTAACAAAAATCTGATAGCTATTGCTTGACAACGTATATAAAAAAAATATGTATCCACAGAACATAGGGATATATATTCTTAATATATAAATGAAAATGCTTAGGAGGAACCCAACAAGACTGAACAACGATTCGGAGTCGTGATAGGTTAACCACGCTTGCTGACATTTCATTAAAATGTTTCAAAGTTTTCGATATCTAACTAATTATTTTTAATGGTTATAGAAACTATTGATACCATTTTATTGTAAAACCAATTCGACTCCATTGCCAATATATTTAAAATGTTTGATTTATTATTTTCACTTTACAATCGCCGTGACACATTTTATATCAGATACTTCCGTAACAATACCTTGGGGTTTTATATACATTTATTTCAATTTTTTACTCTCAGATATGTCTGTGTACTTTGTTTCCCAATGGAAATCAACATGACAATATCGCTGTGCTTGCTAATGGTAAGGAGAAATAATTCAAAACCGAGATAACATAAATATGTCAAGCAAAAGTTTACCAAAATCAAAATTAATTTGTCTCATATCAGTTAACATCTAGCTCTAAATAAAAGCTTTTTCGGTATAACCGCAGCCTTGTACACACTGCGTTGCCACATTATATGCGTACAAGATATAACTCATGGTGCTATTGAATATTTTATCGTGCAAAGTTTTAAAACTAACACGACAATGGTGGTTTCACTTTTAGGAAAACATGTTTATAATAGATAGACATATTTAGACGCATGCACCGAAAGAGCATCGTAACCATAAAATATATATTTTAGTACAGAAAATTATATAGTATATATATAAGTGACTTACCCATTTAGAGGTTCAACTCATCAGCGTATTTTATTGTACTCACCTACTCTCATCTAATTCATCTCTAGTTATAATATATAGCATTATCATATACAAATAAATTTCCGAATACAGTGCATTGAAAAAGAAGACATAATAATTTTTCATCTGCAGGAATTTACTAGATTACAATAAATTGTGCGGGAATGATTCATTTTGATTTCTATAATAATATTATACCTAAACCTACCTAATATATTATTATTAGGGCACTGATGATGTTGCACTTGCAACTTTTTTTCTACTTTTTCAATTAATTGCTGAGTAAGTTTTAAATACGTTTCATGTAAGTACGAATTCAAATCTAAAAGTTTTAAGTGCAAGTTTTTGAAATTTTTGGGATTTTTTCACTTTAATTGCAATTTTGTCGAATTTACAACTATTTTAGCACTATTTAACACTTAACGGTCGTATGGATACGATTATACTATAATATCTCCAGCCACAAAATCCAATTAGTAGTATAGTATACACTATACAGTAATAGTGGTATCTTATCGAAATAAAGATAAAATCAAATCGATAGGTATTCCATACAATACAAAAATAATTTGTGAAATGTGACTGTTTGAATGTATAATCTGTTATTCAGTCACTCCGTGAATTTTGAACGATTGTGCTGTTACAATGTTAAATATGTCGAAAATTAAACCAACTATTTCTACCGTTATTAAAAATTCCTTGTTAGAATTTGGAGAAGATGTGTTTTTGTGTGATACTTTTTTGTAAATTGTGTGAAACAAAAGTAAATGCTGAACGGAGGTATACAGTTACACACCATATTGAAACTGCAAAGCATAAACGAGCAGTTAATTGAAAAAATACCACTAAAACTTCTACATCGCAACTTCAGGTAAAGTAATTTTCCAAAAGAATCATCATTTAATAAATATTTGTGTAAGACAATGTAATCCAGCAATATTCCATTATATGAAATCAATAACCCAGATTTTCGTTTATTTTTGGAAACATATATGAAGAGAGACATTCCGAATGAATCTACATTACTTAAAAATTACGTGAACGAAGTGTACTCAGATACGTTAAATAAAATAAGAGACAATGTAAAGGGAAATAAAATTTGGGTCTAAATAGATGAGACCACAGACGTTAATGGAAGATATGTGGCTAACGTTATGATCGGAACACTCTAAACTGACCAACCAGGAAAAGTGTATTTATTAAATACAGAAGTTCTCGATAAAGCAAATTATTCAACAAAAACTAAATTATTCGATAAATCAATGTTTCTTCTCTGGGTGGACGGTATTCGTAATGATGGCGTTTTTCTATCTCTTAGTGACACAGCTCCATATATGATAGATAATAATTTATTATCATGTACCTATAGTCCTTTGCTGCTCGTTCTTCAAATTCCATCGGTGGTT